CCCCCCCCCCCCATTTCACAGTGAGCTAGTTGAAGGAAGCTGGCATTGTCGCAGAGTGAAAGCTCTGCAGAAGTGCCGCAGGTTTTTTCATATGGAAATGTGAAATAATGGGGTGATTAAATAGAGCTGTATATTAAAGTACATCTGACATTAGAATTAGCATAATGTGCTCTAGCCCTAGGCTGAGTACTTTATTTGCCATCTGCGTCGGACCAAAATCCCCTGGGGAAGCGCTAAAATATTCTGAATAAACTCAGCCCGAGTTCTTATTGAGAGTAAAATACCATTTGTGGCACGTCGTATTGATTCGTCTTAATTGCGGTGCAGAAAAGAACATTCAGTCGCCGATGACTTTTGTACTCTGTGACAAGTCAGCTGGAGTTATTCTAACACTGCAGTTGGTTAACCTGAACAGACTGTGGTACTCAGAGTAGGAAGAAACCCTTATCTTCAGCCACATAAAGTACAATATCATCATATTTTTCTTTTGGATTTTTTTCCTCTTAGTCAAAAACCTTTAAAATACAAAGAGAGATAGAGATTGAGCAAGGCATCAGCTGGCCAAAAGAAAAACTAGAGAATTAGTCCATTAAAATTAAAGTTATTTTAACCTATTAATTTTATATATACATTTGATTAGGATTTATTGAATGGATTGAAAAATCAGTGTAATTTGTCTTTGCTCATCCATCAAATGAGCCATTAGTTCCTGAGATTTATTGTACATATCTGTAGCTCAATGTAAATGTATCTACATAGACACACACATATATGTCGTAACCCCCTAAGACGTTTTGTATTTAAAATTGCATGGTAATAGGTTGTTTTAATGGTAGGATTTTTTATTTTCTTTCTAAAATAATTTGCTAAGTATCTTCCGTTATAATATGTGTAAAGAAAAAAAAACATACACCTAAACAAGTCACGTAAAGAGGTGGGAAATAATATACAGTACTCTGTGCAATTTTGTTAAAATTCACAAGTGTAGTTCTTATCCTATAATTTCCTATCATTGTACACGATTTACATATTCAAACATTCCCGACAAACCTTAGTCTAGGATGTTTTTATTACAAATTCAGATCAAGGGAATAACCTTTAACTTCAGAGACAAATGAGACAAATTTACAAGTGCATGTCTGCTGTTTTCTTGTGTTTTATAAATCCCTGTGGACCTGAACACTTTTGCTATAACGCCACTCTGAACAATATACATACATTACTACTTGTTTGTAGTGCTTCAGTAATGAGTCCCCTTTGTATTAGATAACCTATATAATTCAGCATCCAGGCTCTCCATAACGTCAATTATCTCCTCATAGCTAAATGTACATTCCATTAAAATAAGATTTACAGTCCTTACCATACTTCTTAGAATTGAACGTAGAGATTTTGTGGATTTGAAGAAGCAAGATTGTGAGTTCATGTTTGTTAAAGATGTAATTAATTAAAACAAAAACACACTTCCATTTAATGGATAAGAATAGATACCTAATATCACCCAGACTGTCACAGTAAAACACACAATATTTCAAAGTTGAGGGGGGGGTTAGGGGTCATATCAGATTTGTTTCTTGTCTTTGTCTGCCTTTCATGGTTTCAAAAAAACACTTTTCCCCCCATATTACATTATTTTGGACATTTTTTTCTTAATGTTTTCCTCCCCACTCTCATTTTCCTCCTAACTTCAGAAACCTTGATTCATGCCTTATTCTGTAATGTCAAAATTTCACAGTCTTGCCCTGGAAGTGAAAGAAAGAAAGAGTGGAAGAATTCCTTTGCTAATTTCAAACTACTGTTCAGAATCTAGATTTTGAAGTCAGGAATGCAGACTTAATTTCTACATTGTAGCAAAGGCTGGCATTATTTCAGTAGTACCTGAATACCTTACACAAAAAGAAGAGGCCTAAAATGTCCATAAAAGGTCTAGAGATTTTTCTTTAAAAGCTATAAATGCAATATTCTGTTAAAAAAAAATACAGATCAAAACACTGTATACCACAGGTACGTTCAGTGGTCTTTTACTTCACTAACAGGCAAGTATTTTCCACCTCATTTTAATGTACCTTTTTTTCTTTCTTTGTTACAGTAATGATTCTTTCCATTTTGAAAAGCTGGTTTGTAATCTCCCCATTCATCTGTTTTCTGCCAATTGCACTCTAGCAAACCTGTCTTTACAAAAGATTAAAAGAATCCATTTAAGTATTAATTGTGTGAATTTTGTTCAAGTAGTGAACAACAAATGACTAATTTAGAAGTTAGTACAAAGCTGACCTTTCCCATTCCACTGATTTCTCACCCCTTTTTCTCTTACTGGTTGTAAGTTCTAGTATTCTGTGCTGATTGCATGCGTCCATGGAAATGTAACAAAATTCACAGTTCTTTTCTCATTTTTTGTATATGTGGGGAACATAAATACATGCCCTAACATGTTTTAAATGCTTTAGCATCCAGGTGCTGAAAGCAGTCTTGTTTCATGTTGTCTTAAGAGGAGCAGCCATAATTGGAAGGCACTGGTAAAAATGTAACATCACTAAGATATTGTTTCTTTTTGAAATAATAAGCTAGATGGAATTATTTCTAGGGTTAATTATCTCTCTGATATCTGGCCTTTTCTTATACAGACTGCCTTTTCTCTGTGTGATGTTGGTCAGTGATACTTTGCAATAGGAAGTAAATATTTGGATGAGTTCTGAACTACAGTTCTTTTCATTTGGTATCCCAGAACTGTGGGGATCTACTTATGCATAGGTAACTCCATGTGGCTGTGGCAGTGTTTAGAGTGACCACAGTTCCCATGATGCACAGCAGTGTTCCATGAGGGAGACTAAGATCCCAACACATTCCTGATAGATCAACATATTATTTTTAATCAAAACATATATTTGAAAATAGCTGGCAATCCCTAAAATGGTGTGTATTTTTAAAAAAATTACTTCGTATTATTTAATTTATTTGCAGCATTCTAATTAACTCTGCTAAGAACTAGAATGGAGGGTCATGAAACTGATGAATTAAGTATTTATAGTAGCATAGCTGTGATCAAAGTGCAGTGCAATGTATTTTTGTCTATCCAGTATGATTTGACTCCTCTCTTGTTATAACCCATTCTTAATTATATCTGAAGTAATAGCATCATGGACATCCAAGGGACTGTGACCTAAGAGAGAAAAAATTAGCTGCATATTTAGTATTTCCAAAATTGTATGAGCCTACCATCATGTAGAGAACAAAATATTTGATGGTATTGATTAACAGGAAGGGAGGCATTTCACAGCCATGCAAGTGGTCAACATTCTGGCTTGCAGTCTTTCTGTTGCTAGTTTAATCCATTGTCTACAGAAAAGAAACACTTTCATTGAGCAGAAAATTTTGCTATAACATTTTTTAGATTACCATAGAAATACAGACAACTCTTACATCCAGACAGAAATAAAAACAAAAAAATGGAAGTGTTGTGCCATGTTAAAATCTGATGTACTTCAGTGTGAGCTTTCATGGTTGCATCTCTTTCTTCAGACATAGACAGATATATCCATGGAAGGTGACATTGAAATAAAACAGTGAAGTCAAGGTGCCACAGCTTCTTTATCTTTTGGTCTGGATGTGCTTGCACAGATAAACATGGCTATTTCTTTGGAGGCACCAGTGCTTGTGAGGTAGGAACCATGAAATTATCTGGCTGTTGTTCAGTGTGTTCCAGCATTCTGACGTATAACAACAGCAGCAGCAATAACAACATTGCAATTCCAGGGGATGCCAGAGTTGAAAATAAAGAATTAGAAAAACTAACAAAGTACAGAGATCTGGCAATCGAAACATATTGCCTCTGGAAGAAACACACTTCAGTGGTCCCCGTAGTCATTGGGGTTTTGGGAACCATATCAAGAAATTTCGCACAGTACTATACGCAGTTGCAGATCTCAGAAATCACACCATCAGAGCTACAAAAAAACAGCAATATTAGGAGCAGCATAGATACTGTGCCGATATTTAACAGATACTGTACTTAGTTTTTTGGTTAAAACTTGTATCTGTTATATAATACCAGTCAGTGTTTTTATAATGTTGCTTGTGCCTGGTGTTTTATAGTAACAACAACAACAACAACAACAACAACAACAACAACAACAACAACAACAACAACAACAACAACAACAATTGTGTGGGAGCTCTGTGGGTGAAGTGTTACACTCTACAAATCCTTTGAGGATCACAAATTTTAATCAGGAGCAGCAAAGTGCTTTCAAGGCAGATAGCTTTGAATTGCTCAAACAAATCAGTTAAAAGGGAGGCTTTTGCTCATGCCACAAGATTAAGATATTACTTATTTTTGGGGGGTGTTCAGAGAATCACTTTAAGCTGACTTCCTAGGTCCATACTCCATAGACTAGTTATAGATTCGATGTGTTTTATATTCCAGAACCCTCATATTGCTGGACAGCCTTGGATGCTTCTGATAAACCATTTCCATTTAAAAAGTGGACACAGAAAAGTATGTACATCTTTGTGTGAAAAACTTGCCGCATAGGTGCAGTCAAAATCTGTAGAATGTACACATTTCCAAAATACTCCCCAGAAGGGCAGATTAAATCCTGCAAGAAAACAACAGCCATATGAAAGTGGGCTCAGTTTTGTCCTAGTAGCAAGAAAAGAAGGACATCCATCCATACATGCAGGCTTGATTATATATGCACATCCTGGTCAGTGGTATGTTACACCATACTGGGCCTATTTTCGCACAGAGCTTTGTTTTAAGTTGACTGTTTCTCCAAACCTGTTTTAACATGTCTACGTTTGTAACCATGAATTAATTTGGTTGACGAGCAAGTACACTGTATACTTTTGTGGTTCAGAGAGAACCTCTTGGTTCCAACCCAGTAACTATCATGACAGCTAAACTGTGTAATAGCCATTTAGCACAATGACTAAATTACCACACAATAGCTGAAGTTATTAGATGATATCTTTGTCAGTGTCAATCACCTTTGATTAATTTTAAATTTTAGTACTGTGTACCTAATTTGTTTGTGGATCATGTTTTCTTGTGAAAACTAAGACTAAGTGGATAGTGCATCTATATTGTCATTCTGTATTGTATGGCACAAAAATACTGTGTATATTCATTTGATCTCCAGAGTTCATAGAACAAAAAGCTATATCTCACAGAATATAGCTTTAAACACAGTTGCCAAGCAAATACAGTGTTTCCCCTCGTTTTCCCTCAGTGAGAAATGTAAAACATTTTCACAGTTTAATTCCCTTCTCTTTAATATCAACTGGTCTTGTGAGGAGACTTTTTAAAGCAGTGCTTTCAATTAAAGCATTTTTATTCAATAATAATTCAATTAAAGGTATGTTTTAATGAGCATCCACACTACTATTATTGGGGGTATTAGAATACAAAAACATAAGTGGGAGCAATTATTGAAATGTTCAGTATGGTGGGGGAGCAGTGGAAGTAGCTATAGACTAAGTAGATACAAGCATGCTCCTGGGTGTTAATAATAACATGTCCTTGCTTTAAAATCTTGCAAGTTATTTTCTAGAAAATTTCTAAAGCTGCACTAAGGCAACATTAAAATCCCTTATGCTTTTATTGCCTCTCTTGTAGGTTTGTAAAGTGAACCTGCAATGTTTTTTAAAGGAGCTAAAGACATTTTTTTGTTAACGCACCCTTCCAACTGTGTCCCATAGAAGGAATGAGGAGAAATATAATGGTACATTCCCAAATGGATGTGTACCTGTGAGGAGTTGCCATTAATTTCTCTCTTGGGAAAGCTCCTACTGCTTATTTACATAAATTAGAATTAATTGTGCATGTGCTAATTAGGAATTCTTTTAATTCTAAGGACAGTGAAAACTAACCTCTTTGCTGTATTCTTCTTCTTTGTGTTTTGAAGTAGAAAAAATGGTTTAGGGACAATATAAGCCACAATATAAAACAAAGTATATTAAATACTTTGTTTTATATCTGTTAGAGAGAGAAAGCCTTATTGCAAGACAAAAGAAAACCCAATCTGCCTTATCACATAATTGCCTATGATTTTGCTTTGTTTGTGTGCAGCAATTCTTACCCTGCTCCAAGCAACATATTTCTTACTATGTACTGTAATCTGCTGTTTTGAGTGGTTCCATTTTACTTGCATGGTTAGGAGTACATTTGTATAGATGCTCCAAAAGTTCCTGTTTAATATAGTTTTATTTACAAAAGCAGAAGGGCGGAAAGTTACAACACCCCAAAAAGCTGCACCCTTAGACCCCAATCTACACGTATCCTTTTCTTTGTGGAGGTAGACAGAGAAACATGTAGGGTGTATGCTCATTAGAAAGATGCTTGAGCCCAACTGTCTTTCTCAGGGAGGCGTGCCCTTCAAATGTATTTTGTGGTTGGGTTTTGTTGTCTTGTTTAAACTATCTATTTAAAGGACCAATCAAACCTGGTTCAGAGTCCAAGCAGATAGTCATGGCTTCTGTATCTGTCTGTTTGAAATCTTGCTTCAAGTCATTTTCAAAAATATCTCTGTGTTGTTGAATTTAGAGGGGAAAGATTGTCTGGAATAGAACAGGCAGGAAATACTTATTGTCTGAAGCTGGATACTAAGCAGAGACTCTGAAGGACTGACTTTGTTCTACCCTTTTTTTGTGAGTACCCATTGCTAAAAACACTTCAGAATGAGGGTAAAACCACAGTGGTAAATTACGCTGTGTTTATGAGTTCTATCTTCAGTCAAGTTTTGTTTGCATGTTTGTTTGGGTTTTTTTGGTTTTGATTCTTAAAATGATGCATTCACATTTGAAGACAATGGTGTGCATCACAGATCAAAAAACAGAGCTTACAACCTCCATAGTTTCCTGCTTGGTTGTACTTGGTGTGCCAGCTGCATTCTGATCCACAGTAATGATAAGAATCCTTGCAAATTTTGGACCCAGAAAAAAAAAATACAACTCTATTATAAAGCCTTTGGCCAAACCTACCGGTATCTTGCAATTCATGCATTTGTGACACTTTGAATCATTAGTGCAATATAGGGCTGTCTGAGGAAATGGATTTTGAGCCATGGAAGTGTGTACTGAAACAAAATTGTTCGTCTTTAAACAGCTACAGTATTTGGGGCCGTCTGACCCCCTTCCCCCTTCATTTTGTCAACATGCTGAGACATGCTAACATGGCTATTTCTTTGGAAATCAGTATAAGGCTTCATAGAATCATAGGATAATGAAGTTGGAAGGAACCTATAAGACCATTGAGTCCAACCTTCTGCTCGATGCAGGAATGTAAATCAAATTATATCTGTCAGGTGGTTGTCTAAATTTATCTTGAATTCCATTAGTCCATTATGTGTCATGAAAATTTGTTAGAACTACAACCATGCGGTTTGTTATATTCTGTTAATGTTGTTGGAAGTATAAAGGAACCACTTCATTTTTGTGCATCATAATCCTGGCACTTTTTGTTTTTTGTAAAAGTGAACCAGACCTTTAATAAAAGAAGACAGTGCAAGTTCTGGAGTAGAGAGAGAGGAAGTGTGTATCCTTACACAGTCAAACTAGGATGCGCACAAGCAGGAAATATTAACAGGAATATTGAAATTGCAGACTTTCAAAACTGTATTGGGAGAGAAGGTTAGATGGGTCTGAATGTGCTCAGTGGGCACAGAATGGTGGAAAACTGTTGAGAGAGAACAGAAAGCTGGGAGAAGGAAAGGAGCAGAGTACCTTAGAAGATGGTGCTAGTCAGTGCACTGGTTCTTAACCTTGGGTTACTCAGGAGTTTTGGACTGCAACTCCCAGAAGCCTTCACCACCAGCTGTCCTGACCGGGGTTTCTGGGAGTTGCAGTTCAAAAGCATCCGAGTAACAAAGGTTAAGAACCACTGAGTCAGTGGTTCTCAGCCATGGGTCCCCAGATTTTCTAGGACTACAACTCCTAGAATTTTAGTTGAAAAGCAAAGAGTGCTGCTTATACAGTATATCACCTTGTCACATTTAAAGCTCTCTCTGGGTGGTTTGCAATTTAATTATGCAGGCTACACATTGTCTGGGTACTCAATTTACCAACTTCAGAAGGATGGAGGGCAGAGTCAAACTCAGGCTAGCTATCTAAGCATGGAATTGAACTGAGTTCATGAGCAGAGTCTTTACTGCAGTACTACAATTTAACCAGAAGGCATCCACAAACCTATGGGGATCCAAGGTTGAGAATCACTGGCCTAGGTGGCTGGAATACAGGATGGAAAAATGTCATACTGCAATCTTGTGTTGTATCTCATTGTGACAATAGGAAGGGCAAGTTACTGACCTTTCCTCTGGATTGTTCAACACCACATAAGACACATTAAATCCATACATAAGAATTTGTTCTTACAGCAGATTGTTTTCCGGAGTAGATCTGCCTGCCTTATTAACTTGCAGGGATCACACTATAGTACCATCTAACTGTTTCTGGGCATTTTAAAAATACTTAGAATATAAAACTGTTCGGAGTGGATCTTCAAAGACTTTTTGACATTGTTCTGTTCTTAAAAGTGAGCATTCGCACTGCTCAGGGCAACTTCAAGGCAAGATAACCATGAAGTGATAATATGGAAATGAACTTTTTTATTTTTATTTAAGTATATTAAAAAAATATAAAGGGGAGTCTAGGGAAAGCCTTTGAGGGCCGTGAAAGTGAAGCAGGGAAAAGAAATAAAAAAAATATAAGTGAATCTGTCAGAGCCTTGGTAGCTGAGTAGCCTGCAGTCAGTTTTGCCATTGTGAACAGGAGCTGCTGAATACAAGAGTGTTGGGGCATGAAAGCAAAATGAAAGAAAAACAAAGGAAAGATCTGCTACTGTTATGACCGATAACTCGTCATATCAGCATCTTATGCCAGTAATACAGACTAATAAGCTGGTTTTGAAAGAGAGTCAGGAAGCAGAAATAAAATAGATTCATTCCCCTGCTTACACTTTACAGAGGTGAACTATTTTTCATGTAAAGTATTTAAAAAAAACAAAAAACCCTCACCCAAAGATCTCAGCTGCATGAAAACAATGCCACCGGGTAGCCAGCTGCCAATTTAGGACTAATTTTTATTTTTGAATAATCAATTAGACTGCCCTGGTCTTGGATTTATTTCATAACCCATTTTATATCTGCTTCTCTTAAGGTGAAGTTTTCTGTTAAATGTTGGTGTGTTTGTGTGGTGATGGAGGTAATTCCATTACTAGGTGAACCAGCTTCAAAGCAGATGGGGGGGCATAAAACATTCTCCTTATGTCTTTAAAGATGGAAGACTCAATCAGATGTATGTAATCAATCAATCAATTAGTTAGAAAACGGAGGTAAAGGGTGCTGAACACTCTTTAATTCAAAGCTATATGACCTTGGAAAATTCTGTGCTTCAGTTGCTATTAGATTATACTTCAAAAAAGTGGGCTTTATTAAAGTCCATTGAAGGGTGAGCTGAGGTAAAACATATTGTTAAAAAAGGCTTTTGACAGAATATGCTATATATGTTAGCCTGCCTCAGTGATTTCTGTCACTTTTTATACTACATACTGTACAGTGTTGTTTAAGAAACATTAAAGGGCTAGACTTTTTGGTCATGTCTAGTCTAGAGAAAGAAAATACTGTAAATGAATAGGAAGTAATAGTAAGAGCATTGGCTACTTATCTTCAATAGTGACATAAAACAATATCTCCTCCTTGCCAAAACTTATACATAGATTTATACATTATTGGTGTAAATTGTTTCCAGAAAGCTTTTAATTGTTCTGCTGGAACAGTATTCAGTGTTTAAATGCAATAACAGTCAAGGTTATATTGCAGAGTATGCTGCAACAACAACAACAACAACAACAACAACAACAACTACTACTACTACTACTACTACTACTACTACTACTACTACTACTACAGTAGTAGTAGTAGTAGTAGTAGTAGTAGTAGTAGTAGTAGTAGTAGTAGTAGTAGTAGTAGTAGTAGTAGTAGTAGTAGTAGTAGTAGTAGTAGTAGTAGTAGTAGTAGTAGTAGTAGTAGTAGTAGTTACTACTACTACTACTACAGTAGTAGTAGTAGTAGTAGTAGTACTAGTAGTAGTAGTAGTAGTAGTAGTAGTAGTAGTAGTAGTAGTAGTAGTAGTCACCGTTCATCAAATGTTGGTTGGATTCAGTTCCTTGAAAATCAGGTCATTTTGAAGGACCTGGGATATGCATAGGTTATTTCCTTAAAATATGTGCTGTTCCAGGTAAGATCGCCTTCTGAAGTTAGTCTGTGGTGAACTTATATACACCTAGAATACAAACATGGTTTCCTAGGTATTTTGGTGTTGCATATAAAGCACCACTTACAGCCAGAATAATTTTAGTTTTTCTTTGCCATTATCATTCAATCTCAATCTATAACTCTTTGTATTTGGCAGTCTTTTCACTTGATTCTAGCATCCCCAGGTATTGTCACGACTGTTATCCAAACCCACCGTCTTTTAACAATGGACAGACCAGGCATGTTGTGAGCCAGATGTTTATCAGTTTGAATCCGATGTCCCATGATATTTCTCAATTTTGTCCATTTTCAACAACATTTTCAGGTGTTTTTTTTTTGGTCCCACCAGTTCTTCTTTGTGGATCACACAATGGTGATGGTGACAGTGATTTCAATCACTTTTTTTCTGGACTCATATTATCAATGGGGTGAGGATTGAGTGTTCACTTAAACTAACTAATGTTCCATTGACACAGGAGCTGCTTGTAAGCTTTTTATAATCTACTCTTAAAGCCTAGGTTTTGGATGGCATGATTTGCCATGTGGGCCAGTAATACCTGGCTTCTTGTTTATTTCAGTATCATAAAGTCTTAGGCTTCATTGTTTGTATGTGAAGTTTATGTTTGGCTATCCTTAATGATTTCATGAGACTTTAGGAGCAAAGTAATCCTTAGGGTCTGAGGTCTACATCAATGTCTTGTCTTCTGAAAATACCTGGAAAATTCACTAAACAAGTAAAATAGGCTCTTATAACCCTGGCTCTGCCAAACAGGAGAGGCAAGAGTAGAGTAAGCATCAAGGTGTGTGGTTTGTGTGTGTTATGTGACATCTTCAAGGACAGAAGGGAAGCTATTGGCTGCTTCAGTCATATGGATAGATTTATTCCGTTTTGTCACACCCAGAGTAGGCATCCACAGTAAGCATTGTTGGCATGTGCCAGAGACTAGTGCCAGACATTTCCTTCTTTGAAAGGATCCAACAGAAGATACACTATAGAGTAAGAAAAAGCAGATAGTCCCCACCTCCATCATAGCTCCTCTTTCCTTATAACTACAGACAAACAAAATAGAGAGGTGGCACCATATTTTTATCACATGAACCAGATAAATTACCTTGAAAGGTGAAATCTGGATTTTGGGAACTGAGATTTAGCTATAGTTAGAAATTTGCTAGGATTCTGAGTCGCACAATGAAAGGGCTTACCTTTAAGATTACAGTATTATGTGTCCATAGATGGAATTTTGTGTGTCCAGGCTGCATGTCCATGTGTTGGCACTTCTACGGTTAGCAAAATTAGGAAATGAGTTGTCGCTAATCTCTGCTTTCTACATGTAAAATTGTAAAATTCTATAGAAGGACTACTATTTAAAATAATCCATTCCACTGGTGAGAGGAGAGTGCAGGAGTTGATAAAGGGAAAAATAAGAAAGTCACAGATTCTCAAGTTGTCATTTATGAAACCCAGCTCAAATATGAGACCAGTACAAGGCTAGATTTGAACACGAGAGACGTGTATTCCAGATTTGTTCTTGTATTCTAAATGTGCTCATGATGTTCCACACGAAATCAAAAATATGGAGCTGTCTTATATCAAGTCAAATTCTTGTTCCATTTGACTTAGAATTTTTCACACAAACAGAAAGTGGCTCTCCAAATATTGAGGACTGAGGTATTTCCCAGCCATACTGAAGTAACAGAGATTGAAAGTGAGACTTTTTTTTTACACAATGCCTATGCTTTAACACCGAACTATGGCTCTTCCACATATAAAACAGGAATTTGGTGCTGTAAGCTGTCACAAATACATTAATATGGGCTAGGTGGGCTTTTTGATGTTGTCTTGGTTCTGATGTATGTCAGTGGTAAAGAATGGGGGAGAAATCATTCTAATTGTGAAGGTGTGCCTTTATAAAGGTTGCAGTTCTAACTAGTCAGATTAGCTGAGAGCTGGCTGAGCTGACCCTGAGCCTCTCTAAGCCTAGGGAGTTTGGAAATTCCTTAGGACTATCCTGAGCCTGGCACAGTGGGTAAGGCAGTTTGGATCTCGTGTAACAGCTCGTCCACCAGTCCTCCTCTTCTTGTTGCTCTTTTGCCAGCAAATCTCAGCCAACACAGTGGTTAGGCTGGCAGATCCAGCTGTGATGTGGCAGATCTGAGCCCAAGGAAGTTTTGCCAGCCCAAAGGGAGTTATATCAGCCCGAGAGGCTTCTGCCTATTCCAGAGTGTGGTTAGCACATCTTTGAGTTTGGATTGCACTGTAAGTGGTTAAGTCTGATCAAAGCTCTGTATCTTTAAAAGGTGTCCATATTTATTTGTTATATTAAAATACGGCCATCACCCGTTCTCAAAGAATTTATGGTTCGTGTATGTAATTTCCCATTATTTCCCATTCACCTTAATAGCAACAGAGGTACCAGGTAGGTCAAGCCTGAGATGTTGCTTGACATCTCATCAAGTTAGCTTGATGTTGTTGTTGTTGTTTTTTTTTTCATTTATTGATGGCTGGAAAGAAATTTGAATGAATGATTTAAAAGTAAATTGGGAACTATTCCTCCACTACTGAAACAGACATGTTTGATATTTGGAAACTGTAGTTTTATATATATTATATCACAATGTAGCATACATGTCCACCATAATAATGGTTTTAAATATTATAATATGCTATACCATAAATGAGTTATGCATAAGTAAAGAAGATGCATTTCCCTTTTCTGTTGAAAATACATGGATACAAATAGCAGGACCTACCTAATAATTGTTAGAGGAATTATGTTACTTGGATGTTCTCTTCTGTGTTACTTTTCTGATTGTTCTCTCTCTCTCTCTCTCTCTCTCTTTCTCTGTCTCTCTCTGTTTCTTCTGCTGCTGCTGCAGGTAAAGATGAGCCTTCAAGCTATATTTGCACAACATGCAAGCACCCTTTCAATAGCGCTTGGTTCTTGCTTCAGCATGCCCAGAACACACATGGATTCCGCATCTACCTGGAAACAAGCCCTTCAAACAGTTCCCTTACTCCACGCATCACCATCCCTCCTCCTCTGGGACCTGAGACTGTTGCACAGTCCCCACTGATGAATTTCCTTGGCGACAACAACCCTTTTAGTCTCTTACGCATGACAGGTCCCATTTTGCGTGATCACCCTGGCTTTGGTGAAGGTCGACTCCCCAACACACCTCCCCTCTTCAGCCCACCACCTCGTCATCATCTGGATCCACATCGCCTTAGTGCCGAAGAAATGGGGTTAGTTGCCCAGCATCCCAGTGCCTTTGACAGAGTCATGCGTTTAAACCCCATGGCAATTGAGTCGCCAGCGATGGATTTTTCCAGAAGGCTCCGAGAGCTGGCAGGGAACAACTCCACCCCTCCACCAGTTTCTCCCAATCGCAACAACCCTATGCATCGCTTGTTGAATCCTTTCCAGCCAAGCCCTAAGTCTCCTTTTCTGAGCACTCCGCCATTGCCGCCGATGCCCCCGAGCAGCACTACACCTCCGCAGCCTCAGGCTAAAAGTAAGTCCTGTGAATTTTGTGGGAAAACTTTCAAGTTCCAGAGCAATCTTATCGTCCACCGCCGCAGCCACACAGGAGAGAAGCCCTATAAATGTCAGCTCTGTGACCACGCTTGTTCCCAAGCCAGCAAACTAAAACGCCATATGAAAACACATATGCACAAGGCTGGGTCCATGACAGGGAGGTCAGACGACGGTCTGTCTGCTACCAGCTCCCCTGAGCCTGGCACAAGTGAACTCACTGGAGAAGGACTAAAGTCTAGTGAGGCTGATTTCAGGAATGAGAGTGATCCTTCTCTAGGCCATGACAATGAAGAAGAGGAAGAAGAGGAGGAGGAGGAGGAGGAGCTGGAGAACGAGAGTAGACCCGAGTCAAGCTTTAGCATGGACTCAGAGCTAAGTCGTAATCGAGAGAATGGTTCCAAATCACTGCCAGATGAAAAATCCCTCGTACTAGGAAAAGTGATAGAGAATGTAAGCCTTGGTACTATCCAGCAATACAATGACATGCTGGCTGAGAAGCAGAAAAGGGGTGGCTTCATGAAAAGGTCTTCGGATCAGCGGGATCTCTGTCCGCGAGACCTCTGTCAAAGAGACACAGGTGATGAAGACTCCGTAGCTGGAGAACTTGACCGCACCGAGGAAGGGGCAGTCAACGGAAGAAACTTTGGTCCAGGTGAGCCCTTCCCCGGCCTATTTCCTCGCAAGCCTACCCCCATTACGAGCCCCAGTTTAAACAACTCCTCAAAAAGAATAAAGATAGAAAAAGATTTGGACTTGCCACCAGCAACAATAATACCTTCTGAAAATGTTTACTCCCAGTGGCTGGTAGGATATGCAGCATCAAGGCACTTCATGAAGGATCCATTTCTAGGATTCACAGATTCCCGACAATCCCCGTTTGCAACATCTTCTGAGCATTCCTCAGAAAATGGAAGCCTGCGTTTCTCCACTCCACCAGGTGATATGCTGGATGGTGGTCTCTCAGGGCGCAGTGGGACGGCAAGTGGCGGCAGCACGCCCCATATCAGTGGACCTGGCCCCGGTCGACCCAGTTCAAAGGAAGGACGGCGGAGCGACACATGCGAGTATTGTGGCAAGGTCTTTAAGAACTGCAGTAACTTAACGGTGCATCGTCGGAGCCACACAGGAGAGCGGCCTTACAAATGTGAGCTCTGCAACTATGCATGTGCCCAGAGCAGTAAGCTGACACGTCATATGAAAACACATGGCCAGATAGGGAAGGAGGTCTACCGCTGCGACATTTGCCAGATGCCCTTCAGTGTTTACAGCACCCTGGAGAAACACATGAAAAAGTGGCATGGCGAACATTTGCTGACAAATGATGTCAAAATTGAGCAGGCAGAAAGAAGCTAAGGCCCCCCCGCTGGGTTAAAATCAGGGGTCTAGGTAACATTTAAATTGTACAGTTTTAACAATTGCCAACTGAGAAAAGCTGACCTAACTTGCCTCCATAAACATAACTTAGCGTAACTATGGCAGGTGCCAAAATTTGGCACTTAAATATAACCTGTGTCTACAAAGTTCTATTAAACCTGAGGATTGGTTAAGGCAGTAAAAATTGTGAAGCCTTTTAACTGTGCAATAATTTCTGTATTTATTGGGTTGTGTTTTTTTTTTTAATTTTTGGCATGTGCAGGTACTTTTTTTAAATACATTTTTTTCTGTTTTAGTTTTCCTTTAAAATTTTGTTGAGTATCCCATTCTCATTTTCCCCAGTAGTAACAAGAGATTATTTGCATTACAGGGGGAGATGCATATCAATTTAAATTATAATTTTAGAGGGCCGCTGCTTTGTTGAATCGTACGCTAAGCATGTGTAATTTCTTGTGAAGAAGCCAACATTTTAAGAGATAATTTTCCTATTCTCTATTTTTTGCTGTCCTTTTTTAAAAAAGGAAAAAAAAATGAAATCCTTTGAAAATTAGAATATATGAAATAGAACCGCGGATAACAATCTTTTAAAAATGTAGCACTTTCTTTTTGGATTTGGATCTGATATGTAGCACTGATGATGCCACTAAAAATAGAGGCCTTTATATATATATAAAATTTTATACACTTCCAGAGGTTGACAGCTAAAACACATGGGCACAAGAGCTTTCTAAAGGCAGCTATATTAATACAAGCAATAGCAAGAATTGTGCATTATTAGTAAGGAATTGTTTTTCAGTTATTAATGGCTTAGTCTCACCTTTTTTCCACTTTCTAAAGGTTCATAAAATTAAGAGAACTTGAGAGCCCTGACGGATGCATGCTCAAATTTTAGGGAAAAAATGGTAGGAAATTCAAAGAAACAAAACAAAACAAACAAAAAGACAAAAATATTGCACCTTAAAGACTAACTATAAACAAAATGCTGTTTCCGTATGTTTGATGAAGTGGACACGTCCACAAAAGCTCACATTAAAATTTAATTAAAAGGTGCCACATATTTTTGTCTTGTCTTGTTTTGTTTTGTTTCTTTGGAATTTGCCTTATATGCATGCACAGACTGACATACCTTTCTTTTCTCATATATGTCATTTATTTTGAGGCTTTGTTCACATTAAACTTTAGGCACGTAATTCGAATTATCATCCAATAGCCTCATAACAGGATTATTGATGTGGCTAGCTCTTCCACAGGAAATTCAGCAGTGGGCTCTCAGTTTTATCCCAACTAGCCAAGATTGCTGAAAGCCACCTGAGCTGACATGAGACCAGCTGAAGCTGTATTGAATCCATACTTATCCCAGCAGCTGAAGGATGTTGGAAATTACTGACAACAACCCTGAATTTTGCCCAGCTTTGTGCTGTCATAGTGATTGCACTGCTTGTTCTTGAGGAGGTTTTCACTTGCCATAATTCAACTCATCCCTTGTTAATGCTCCTTTTGTACCCACCCCCCCGTCCTTCTGATGGTAGATCCTGACCAGTTCTGCTGGTAGACCCCTATTCTGGCAGAATTTAGAGAACAGCCAGCAGAAAAGGGTTCTGCCAGCATAGGGGCATATCTGCCAATACAAGGGCACATCTATCAGCGTAAAGAGACTTTTGCCAAGAGAAGCTTTTGCTATTTTTCTAATCCCCTACCGTTGATGCACCTATCAATTAGGATTGCAGGGTCAGTTATGTTTTATCACTAAAAACCCATTTGTGTATCAAGTGCACAAAATGCAGGGTCATCCACCCTCTATCTATAGTTAAAGGATTATTCTTTTTTAGGACTATCAATCAATTTTTAAAAATCTTAGTTAACAAGTCAGATTAAATTTATATAAATGAGCATAGGTTCGAAAAAAATATTTTTCAGGAAAAAAGGCATGTTTTCTTTGTTTTCCGTTGGCACATATTTAGATGATATGTGTCTTTTAGATAGAGGATGCTAAAGGCATTCTGCCCCCTCCTTCACTGTCTTGTTCCTTGCACTCATCATTTACATGCAAAAATAACCCTGGGAAACACTGAAATTCTGGAAAGCCACTGTCAGTCAGGGTAAATAATGTAGATCTGAACTAAACTGACCATTTTGGAAGAGCCAGCTTAGGTTTTTTTGAGAAAAATGCTTCTTCCTAATACAACGCCTACTGTCCGTGGCTTTCAACTACACTATGTTAAAACAATCATCGTTTTTAAAAAGAAATTTGCTGCAATTTGATGAGCATTTGCCTTTTGGTAAGTCCCATTGGGGAATCCAATACGAATCCAAGGCAGACCTTTCAACATCACAGTAATCCAAGTTTATGCACCAACCACCAATGCTGAAGAGGCTGAAATTGACCAATTCTATGAAGACTTACACACCTTCTAGAACTGACACCAAAGAAAGATGTTTTTCTCATTATAGGGAACTGGAATGCTAAAGTAGGGAGTCAAGAGATCAAAGACACAACAGGTAAGTTTGGCCTTGGAGTTCAAAATGAAGCAGGGCAAAGGCTAGTAGAGGTTTTTCAAGAGAACAAGCTGGTCATCACAAACACTCTTTTCCAACAACACAAGAGGCAACTCTACACATGGACATCACCAGATGGGCAATATCAAAATCAGATTGATTATATTCTCTGCAGCCTATGCATATAGCAAAAACAAGACCTCGAGCTGATTGTGGCTCTGATCATCAGCTTCATATAGCAAAATTCAAGCTTAAACTGAAGAAAATCGGAAGAACCACAGGACTAGTCAGGTATAATCTAAACCAAATCCCAAATGAATACACAGTGGAAGTGAAGAACAGATTTAAGGAACTAGATTTGGTGGACAGAGTGCCTGGAGAACTATGGATGGAGGCTTGTAACATGTACAGGAGGCAGCAACAAAAACCATCCCAAAGAAAAGGAAATGCAAGAAAGCAAAGTGGCTATCCAATGAGGCCTTAGAAATAGAGAAGGGAAACAAAATGCTAGGGAGATCAGGAAAGTTACAGAAAAATGAATGCAGACTTCCAAAGAATAGCAAGGAG